AGGTGCGTATAATATGCACGCCAACAATGTGAGTATTATATGCACGCTAACAATGTGAGTATTATATGCACATCGAGTGCACGCCAAAGTCAGTTTCTGTGTATACTGTAAATAGGTCAGTCTTAGAATGCTTCAGCTAGTCGTGTAGTGTCCCCAGCTCAATAACCAGTGCTTCATGCTGTTGAGTGGTGAATACGAGTGTCATAAATAAAATACTGCTGTTTATTTTCATCTTCAGGTAATGGTGAAGGTGCGATCGGAGACATGAGGATCGTCATCTTCTCCTCTGAATTCCTCTTCACCTTCATTCTGATGGTTTTACTGGTATTTGAACCCTGTGAGTATAACTGAACATGAATTACATTCACGTCAGGTGTTTTGGGATTTTTATTTTCATTTAAAAACATGATTTTCAGGAAATAAATGATCAGTTTTACTACTATTTAGCATTTGCTAGATCATTTGCTAGATCATTTTCTAGAGATATTTCTACTGTTTGTTCAGTCATCTCTAAACTGAACTGAAGCTCTTCATCTTCATCACTCTCTGAACACCATTAAATGCATTCTCGTGTATCCAGACTGGACATCTGAGGGTTTATTGGATGTGTTCTTTGTTAAAAGCAGGACTGGTCTGTTATTCAGTCTGATGTGTTTGATCAGCATCTGAATGATCCTGTAAATCTCTTTCCTCACAGGGATCACACCAGGTCTGCAGTCTTGTCAGGTTAGTATCAGAAACTAATGTGATGCATTCTCCTGCAGTGAGTTAAAGGTGCTCTTGGTGATTTGATGTTTCTCGAAGTCTTTAAATGCTTCATACAGACACACATCAGTTTGGACGCAAGCAAACGTTTCTGATTACTGAAGTCACTGTGGAAATAGACCTGCTCTATTCACATTTCTATTTGTCACCTGAGAAGAACTGATTCCACAAACTCTATAATAATAAAGGGACAGATGTGTAAATTAATTCTGCTTCATTACTGAAGTACTGTTTTGAGAAATTTCACTTCACCTGAGTTTTATTTAAATAAAATACCTGTAATTTTACTCAATTACATTTGCAGGGAAATGGCTAGATACTTGGACATTTAACGGAGTAAAATTAAGAACAATTTATATAAATAAAAAGTACTTTGTGCAGCAGTCTTGAGAGGTTTCTGAGATAAAGTGAGCTGTATTCAGCTGGTCATGTGATCTCTATGTGACCAATAAGCAAAAAATATGAAAAAATTCTGTGGCAATTTATAAATGCAAAAATATTATTGGGTGCATAGATTTAATAAATGAAATGTAAAAAATGAAAATGCAATGCACCTTGAACTTTGCATTTGTTTGGTGTGTGGATTCCTTCAATACGGTCAGCATGAGCGGAGAGGGAAAACAGCTTCTTCCTTACCGCTGATGCGACATTACATAATAGCGCTGATGTGCTATTATTTACTTCAAATATAAAGCTTTTTTAAATGTGGACAAAATTACCAACTGCACCTTTAAACAACTGTCTGAAAAGCAGAAGCAGGTTTAGTGAAGATGTGTGTGAGTGAACTGTCTTGTCGTGAACACAGAAGGCGATAAAGTCTCGTCGAGCTGCAGCCGCTGGATCACAGCTTATATGAGGAGAAACACTGGTGCTGAAAACACATGTTAACATCTGTCTTATTCTGAACCCAGAATGCAGCAGCAGATTCAGCCAGTGGATCAAACCAGAACCAGAACCAGAACCCAGCAGAATCACATGAGATGAAAGCTCTGCTGAACAAACTAAACCAGGAGACCGGCAGGAGTGACGGGACGGAGGAAACCCAGCCGGAGTCAGTGGTTTCACAAACATAATCAACAGTCCCAGAAAAACACTCGTGAGGAGCTTTCCTCTGTGATTTAAGAGTTCAGTCTCATTCTTCATTTGTTATTGAAGCCGTTATTTAATGCACGTTTGATGTAAATATATGCAGAATGTTTAACTTAATTGCACTTGTTCTTTATATGCATGTAATAGTGATTTGCTTTTATAACTAACTCTAGCTGTAAACCAGCTTCAGCAGTAGAAATGAGACTGAGACTCCTTCAAGATCAACGGAGAGAAAACAGTGTTATAGTTTTAACTTTAAACACGTCTGTGGCTCGAGTCTCAACATCACAGAGATCACAGTTCAGGATCATGATGTCAGTAAATGTTCACTTCTGTCACTTACAGCCATCAGAAACACTGAGACTGAACATCTGCAGCTTCAGATGGCAGCTCAGATCCTTCAGAGTTAAACATTGTGACACATATACTGTTATTAATAACTAACTTTGACTACTCTTACTATTGCTGCAGTATGTGAAATTATGTAATTTTTCTGTATGCACAGAACATGTGGAAGACCTGCTACATTCACTAAAGAGCAGTGTACTGTATCCCACAATGCAATGCGTTTCACTTGATTTTCCATTTCCAGCGTGATGAAAGAAGCAGAAGTAATTCAGACAGATGAGATGTATTTCTACTTCGCTCCACTAGACGGCAGTGTCTCAGATGGACTCATGGAAACATCTTGTAGTTATAGTTAGGGGCCAAACACTGGAGGCGCTCAGGCAACTATTGTATGTGTTTATTGTATCCGTTCTTCTTCTTCTTCTGCTCTTGAGTCTATGGCACACCATCGAACCGTTTGTGGGAAATTAATGAAATTTGATCGAGGACAGTTTGAACTTTAATCACAGCAAATTTGGAGTTTCTAACTCCAGCTAGTGGTCTGGAGATGTAAAACAAGTCTATTTTCGCTTATAATACCGGGTCAAACGATATCCAATTTTGTATTTTATGAACACATTGGTGTATTGTTCCAAAGCTTGGTATGTGTCATCAGCTCCATACCCTGAAAGTACTCAAAAAGTTTCAGGTCAGTGACCGCTTGTGGTCAAAAGTTATAATGACATTTCTAAAAAGATTCCTTGGATCAAGCCGAGAACATTGATACCAATTATTCCATAATCAGCCCAATCTGATTTATGTTGAAAACCTACTTTTTCGAAACTCCTCCTAGACTGTTGGTCTGATTTTCTCCTAATGTGACTCATTAGGTGACTCAGGTCATCTTCAGATTGTGTGTCAATAGACAAAACAGTTTTCATTTACGGCATTAATGAATCTGATGGCATGATGCCAAACTGTCTCTGAGGCTGCATCTCTGCAGAGCTTTGACTGACACCAAACTCTGTGTGTGTCGCTTGCTGGGTTTCCATCCAAACGTGAAGCGAACTTTTTAAAGTTAGCAAAAAACAATAAAAAAAAAAATGTTTGAGTGGATGACGGTGGTATTGGTAACCTAGTAAACAACAGCAAATTAAACCCCATCAGCTGAAACAGACGATTAGTTACGTAGATTTAAAGTTTGTTAAGTCAGAATTCATTTGGGAAATACATTTCCATCTCCCATTATTCGTATTAACTCTTTTTCACACAAGTCAAAAACCTCAAGCGAGCGTAAAAACATTTTTAATGAAATCTTAAAAGAAAAAAAAAACTGTCTGAATGTTAATATAAATATTAAACAATTATCTGCAGTCAGCAACAGCCACACACCACACAGACTAAAGTGCACAGTGATTATGGCACTGGCAGCTATTATGATCCTACTGTATGGTTCTCAGTAGCTCACAGGTTTTCAGCTAGGAGAACCAGCAGATCCACTTTTGCTGGTTTTAAGGATGAGCGAGTGCAATCCAGTGCTAAACAGACGCTCTGAGGGGGCACTAGTTGCTGGTACACAAAGATACTTGCAGACTATCTTGCGCAGTCGTGGAAAGTTGATCTTGTGCACCTTCCACCAAGCCAAGGGACCGTCCCCTCCGTCAATGACGGGGCTCACAGGTAACTGTTTAACTCTGCCTCCACGACATCTTCAAGTTGCACAGGCAAAGCAGAAGAGGCCACACCAAAAGGGTCTGGCTGCAGCTGGCGCTTGCGCTCTCAGACTTGCACTCTCAGGCTTGCAGTCTCAGACACTTGCACTTACGCTAGCGACGTCACTTACAGTCTTTTTTATTTTTTTCTATTTATTGATTACTTTTTGTTTGAATCTCTCAACATTTTACAACAGTAGCCAGGTGGTGAAGACAAGACAAAAGAAACTAAATTACGAAGTCACTTGCAATCATCACTTGCACTCTCCGATACCTGCAACATCACTTGCAATCGACACAAATGGTGCGTGTTGCCAATGGAGACAAGACGCTGTGGTGGTGATTTAATGATTAAAACTAATTTAGTACCGTAACCTACAGGGTCCTGCAAGAAAAAGACAAGACCCACAAATCTGTGGCCACAGAACAGCAGAATATGAACGCAATGCACAAAGTCTCTCGTTAAGCATTTTCCTTCTGTAGAAAAACATAAACACTTAACATGGCTTAATGTATTAAGATACATTAAGTTCAATTAAAAGATCAAATTCGATATATAGTTATTATTTAATGTACTATAAGGCAAGCAGATGGCTATGAACACAATGCGCAAACTTTCACTTGTCCTCCCATACAGCAAAACGCTTAATGTGGCATAATAACGGATGATAAAGACAATTCAGTAGCCTATATGTCTTGTTGTTGTACAGAACAGCAAATATGAACGTGCATTATGAAATGCATTAAGTGATTTTAAAAGGATCAACTCCGTACAGGCAAGCAGACGAGCCCAGAACGCAATGCGTTAAATTGCACATTACACATGTTCCTTCCATAGAAAAGCTTAATGGCTTAATGGCTTAAAGCTTAATGGATGAAGACAATGATATAAAAGAGCTGTAGACAGTTTATTCTATATGGAAAAACGCTTAACACGAAACTATGTGTGTTGCATTTATTCTGGGCTCGCTTGCTTGCCTGTAGGCCTATATTAGTTATGTAGGCTATATTTTAATAATCAAGAGCATTGAGTTTGGTCTTTATCATCTTAGTCCATTATGCCACATTATGCCACGTTTTGTGGTTAGAGGAAAATACTATATACATATTCATTATATTAATAAACTGTATATTGAATTTGATATTTTAATAGCATCTTAATACATTAAGCCATGTTAAGTGTTTATGTTTTTCTACAGGAGGAAAACTCTTAACGAGAGACTTTGCGCATTCGTTCATATTCTGCTGTTCTGTGGCCACGGATTTGAGGGTCTTGTCTTCACCACCTGGCTACTGTTGTAAAATGTTGAGAGATTCAAACAAAAAGCAATCAATAAATAGAACAAAATAAAAAATAATAAAGACTGCAAGTGATGTTGCTAGCAGAAGTGCAAGTGTCTGAGACTGCAAGTCTGAGAGTGCATGCGCCAAGCTGCAGCCAGACCCTTCTCGGCCACACTGGTTTTGGAAAGGCTGCCAAGAGACTTCTTTGTCTTTTCCCCGGAGGGCTCTGCACTTTGAGGCTTCTGAACAGTTTCAGTTCGAGATCTCTTCTTCTGCCAGATGAAAAAAAAATATATATAATAAACAACACAAATCACATTAGTTTTGAAGTTGAATTACATATAAATATGTATGTGTTTGTGGAAGTATCATACTCAAGGACATTATTATTATTAACCTGGTTATATGTACGTCTTGCTGATATTAGCATTTCCGTCTTCAGTCGGGTCTTAATGGCAGGGATGTTGTCTGCACTGATTTACTGTGTTTTCAACTTAGGGTCCATGAACGACGCAACATCCAAAAGCTCCTGGGTGTTGGAGTCACTACTGTATATATATATATATATGTTCACAAAAGCTCCCTTCCGACTGTTTGGGACATCTGGAAAATCGATTGTTCGGAGAAGAAAAGGTGAACGCTACCATGAGTCCTGTGTTGTGCCAACAGTGAAGCATACTGAGACCATCCATGTGTGGGGTTGCTTTTCAAACCGAGGGAGTGGGCTCTCTCATAATTCTGCCCAAAAACACTGCCAGGAATAAAGAATGGTATCAAAACGTCCTGCAGCAGCGACTTCTTCCAACGATCCATGAGCAGTTTGGTGATGATCCGTGCATTTTCCAGCATGATGGAGCACCGTGTCACAAAGCCAGAGTGATAAAGAAGTGTCTTGAAGATCATTACATTGAGATTTTGGATCCGTGGCCAGGCAACTCCCCGGATCTCAATCCCACAGAGAACCTGTGGTCAGTCCTCAAAAGGCGAGTGGACAAGCAGAAGCCCACAGATTGTGATCAACTCTCAGAACTAATAAGGCAAGAATGGATCACCATCAGTCAGGATTTGGCTCAGAAGCTGATATCCAGCATGCCAGAGCTTATGAAGAACAAGAGTCAACACTGTAAATTCTGAAACCACAGACAACTCTATTATTTGTATTTCCATCACATAAAAAGGTCTAAATCCTTAGGCTCTGGCTGTGTTGTCTCTTCAACTGCACCTTTACTTCATTTTCACTCCTATAAATCAATGTGAATATGTCTGCTAAATGTATTATCGTAACTTCACAGTAGATAATAATGATATCCTGTAGCAGACAGTATTGTGAATTAGAGAGTAATTGGGTGCTACTTACTAGCAGTTTGATACTTAACTGAGTTACAAAGACTAAACTACAGCAGTCTTATTCACAAATGAACACGAGATGCACTTTTTAGCTGCTTCC